AGGTAAATCGATGCCATAAATTTTATTGATAAAAATTGTTTTTGGACTCGAGTTCATGTGTTGTGTCAATCATACAGAGTGTTTTTATTTTTAATCAAATATGGCAAGCAGCAATTTGGAAGCATGAATTTTTTACGGTGAAGCACGGCTCTCTTGCACGAAAAAGTAACAATAAAGGTTATGTTCTATCACTAATGTGGTACAATATTATTATTATTATTATAATAAACCCCAGACATCTCACACACGGCCGTCTGATCCCAAACTTGGCAGAGCCTGCACTATGGTAAACATACTTATTTATTACTTACACATTATAGATAAATTACACCCAGACACAGAAGAAACAATCGTGCTCATTACACAAATATTTGTCATGGGTATTACATTATTCTCTTTTTCTTCTTAACCATTTCGGTGTAGGAAAAATCTAATGAGATTTTTAATGCTATTGCTACCCAAAAACTAGATTGAGTTTCGTTCATGACACTAATTCCAGAGCTATAAAATTGTTAGAGAACCTGTGATTAAAAATCCCTAACCGTCCTATCAGTCGTTGAAAATTCCTTCTCTATTGAAGTGGTGCAGTTGTGGAATTCAATACCAACCGGTGGTAATAAAATGTGACTTCAATAGTCTGGTGTGTGTTCAATGGCTTCTTTTAAGAAACTCTTGAAAGAGTAGAAGAAAAGGGTCTTTGTGGTAGTTGAAATAATCTGATATGATTGGGGTGTACAAAAAAGTAGTTTATATACCTATTAATAATATTAATGATTTAAATTAGTTTCAAATCGACAGAATTTGCTCTACCCGTGTATTTTTTTTCTACCATATATTAAATACACAAAATTCTTCAAAAAAATAAATATTATATCTAGAGCCCTTTCGAAACATCACCTAAGGAGAGAAATAGTGAATCTATATATTCTATGGACCTGTTTTAATGTCACAGCATAGTCCTTTATGAAAAAAAAAACCTTAAGCTGATAGGTATCGAAGTGGTGCGCGTGTATGACCGTTTCCGTACATCTAGTCTATCAAACGACCCATTCAAATAAGCGATTTTTTTAAATCATAATTGCTGCATCCGGTTCAGAGTAACTCTTCCCAACAAGAAACATTCGCATTGGTTCTTACCTAATGTGCTTCAGTGCGCCATATTAGTGAATTTTACGTTCATTAGTAATATACAGATTAAATATCATCAGACTTTATAACTTATCAATCTTTTTCGAGGGTTCCAGCACTCAGTGGCCGGATCCATTTAATTTTCATATTTTACCACTACCATTAATGAATAATTGATCTATTGTTCAGGCCAAAAACAGTAGTCAAAAAATTTTTTAAAGTAATAATTTAAGACAAAAACTCTTTGATTCAAAAATATAAGTTATTTATGAAATGTAATATAAATAAAACACCCTTTGATAAACGTTCGTTGTTTAAAATTTACATAATAAAAACATAAATAATGAAATAAATACATAAATAATGATAACAATAGTCAACTATTTACGTAGTTATCTATCACAAAATCAGCCTTTGGGATGAAATATTACAAATATGTGCTGATGACGGCCTCAGTGGTGCAGTGGCAACGTATGCGACTGCAGTGCTGGGTTCCATTCCCGGGTCGGACCAACAGTTTGTATGATCTGTTAATATTTGTTTCGGAGTTTGGGTGATTTCCATGTATAATATGTATGTATACACAAAAACATAAAGTGTATAAGTATTCAACTGTTCTATCAGTCAATCTAGCTTTTATATTAAAAGCTCTGCTGAGTTTGAAAAACTGATAACGCAGCAGATATATATAATATATCTCAATGATGTTAAAAAGGCCTAAAGGAGAGATGTATGTAAAGCAGTGGACTGTTATAGGCTGTAATGTGTGTATGATGTTAAAAATAGTCCACTATATAACCATCATAGTCAACAGTTAAAAATGACCGTCGAAGCTTAGCAAATCAGTTTTTTCTTATATTGTTACTTTAAACATTTTTTCGTTTGACTGGACTGTTTCTGATTTGAACAATAGATTTTGTTTAGAACCCTCAAATTTCCATATCAAGAGATAACCCGCCATGCGTGGCCAATTTATATATAATTAAGTAGAAGATTATATCAACTCCCTGTACATGTATGATCCAGTATCAATACATATCAATGTGACCCGACCCCGCCTATATCAGACAATTAACTTTAATGGGTATATTTAAATTAGTGCTGCACACTCAATTGACAACATATTATCGCCATATTAGTTTTCTACGATACTGTTATATAATATCGATAAATAATTTTAACGTTATTTTTATATCTGTTAAGTTCAAAATCGGATGGTACATCGTAAAGTTGTGCTTCTAGAAGTTAATTGATGAAATTGTTGATAATTCAGGGCATAATATGTTTATTTTAATCACGTCTGCCTCTCTTATCAATAGGTCAGTTAGGCAAAATCATTTATCTCAATGTACGTAATTATCAGCATAAATATAATTAAAACATTTATAATTATTTAAAAGTAGGGTCAACTTGAATGACAGTAAAGCTGGTTGGCGAGCTGTGACTTAGAACCATTAGGTACGGTTAGAACCCATTTCTAACAGTCAGAATCCAGACTTAATAAAACAAGACCCTAGCCTGTGTATAACTACACCTATAACTCAGCAGGTGAAGTGCACTGTGTGTCATGTGACAAAATCTTTAAGATAGAATCAATGGCAGACATACTGACACTCGTGTTAATATCCTCAAAGAGGTAGATAGAAGAGTATAAAAATCTCCAGATTTTAGTATCACTGGGGCAAACCTATTGTTGAAAACCAGGCAACTTAGGAATTAGATGGAAAGGGTTAGGATAAAAGGATATCGCTTATAGGGATGGATTAGGGACTTCCCCTCCGGAGGACACAAAACGAACGCCGTCCTCCATAAGCGCAGGGCTGGGGATTTTCTTTTTAGGGTACACCTTTTTTTTTTTTTTTTTTTTTTTTTCCGTGCGGAAATCCCCTCGGATACCACCTGTCGGTGGCATGTCGGACTCGAACCGACTAAAACCGCACGCCTTCGCCGGGTACTAATAGCCGGGGAACCAGGTATACCCTAGAAAGGAAGTCCCTGGTGCCCCGACATACCTCGGGTCATCTACAGACGAGTAGACGACCCCCCCCCGTGTGGGAACCCCATGTTCCCTGTGCTCCCTGGAAGCGAGCGCGCTTCGCAACGCGCTCGCCGTCACCCCGGCCTGCTTCTGCTAGGGTGACAGATGGCCTCACCTGTCACCCCCAGGCCTGCGCTTATGGAGGACGGAGGTCGTTCTGCGACCTCCGGCGCCTGAGTCGCCTGCGCTGCCTGGCCCGTGCCCGGGCCTGGCGGGCCGGGAGAATTCTAAACCTCTCCCGGTCCCGCTCCGCCGTCTCCTTCGCGAGCATAACTTGCTCGCAGAAGGAGACGGCAGAGTTCCACGCACTCTCGCTCCGCACGATAGCCGCAATCAGGCTATCGAGCGAGAGAACTCCAACTCCGATGGCCGCCACGAGGTCTCGCCTCTGCTCAACCCACGCCGGGCACTCTGCCAGCGTGTGGAGAGCCGTGTCCATTATTAGTATAGTTTTTAAAAGGAGTTCCTCTTTTGGAAAACCGGTACTTGAACCCAGACAGTTAAAAGGTTTAATATTAACTTCATTCGCCTGAACATATTTAGGTATAACTTTAATTCTCTTCCAAAATAATAGTTGTTACTTTTAACAATATTAACTAACTAGGTCCGCGTGGTGACGGATTAAGAATACAGATGGTCACCTCCCCTATTCATCCCGTGGGTGTCGTAAGAGCCGACTAAGGGAAAAAAACTACGCAGAACAACAGCACTGCAGAGAGAAGGAAAACTTGACACAAACCCTATACCAACCCGTCTGGCCAGCGTGGTATAATAGGCCAAAACCTCCTTTCTAAGGAGATGCTTACGTCCAGCAGTGAACTATTAAAAGCTGTTGATATATATGATAACTAACTACTACTTACTTTCCCGAAATCCGATCTATAATGCGCACTGTGTAATTTGCTTTTTTTTTTTACTTAGTTTTAAGCTTAATGTTAAGCTTTTCTGTGTACCGATGTGAATAAATATGAAGATAAATTAACAAGTATAATATATTCAAGTATCGATTAATTGACAAGATGAGGGAGATCATAAATCTTCAGGGTGGTTTGTGCGGGAACCAGATCGTCGTCAAGTTTTGGGAGGTGACATCTGATGAGCACGGCATTGACCCTTGCGGTTGCTACCACGGAGACTCAGATCTTCAATTAAAACACATTAATGTATTAATGTAACTACTACTTAAAGTCCAGTTCAAATTGGCATCCGTACCAGCATTTAGACAGACAGACAAAACTTGATATTTTTTGCAAAAAAGCTATGTTAATATTCAGATGCCATTATTAATCAGCTTTTATTATGATATTACAAACAGATACTCATTATTTGAACATTTATTTTTCACATTTCATTTATTTGAATAGATAGTTACAACATTAAGATTAAATTCTGCTTACTCTCTGCTACTTTAACTTATCGTAACGTTACTATAACGTTATTTGTGATCGATATTAACAAATAAAAAACGGTTTCAATGTGAAAGAAATATATTTTAGTTTTGCTACAGAATAGATATTATAGTAATGTACAAAATAAAACTTCATTTACAATCACTCATACTGATTCACAATATCTGGTGAACAAAACTTTGTACCTCGTTCACAAATTAAAACTTGGTAAAAAGGTAAAATGTACTACTTTAAAATTAACAATACCTTAATCATAGACAATATTATCTAATTCCCATTAAACTATATTTACACAATAATTTACAATAAAAATCACTTTGTCCGACTCACTGAACTTACATTTGGTAGCGACAGGAGATAAAATCATTATTTTTTGAAGTCACATTCACATTTAGAAATCACGTTAAATAACGTCTTTAGCAGTTTCACTGTTGGTTATTTGTTTGTGTGCTGGGTGAAGGGGACCCGCTTGACACAGGTGGTTGCACCATGCTCAGGTGCGGAGGCAAGCCCATTGGAGGCAGTGGCCGTCCCCCTGCCATGAGAGGGTGCGGGTGAAAGTATTGCTGCAGCGCGGGGTGGGGGTACAAATGATGGGGGTGACGGGAAAACTGCGCCATTTTGAGTTTCTCGATCTCCGCCTCCTGCACGCGCTTTGCTTTCGCTCTTCGGTTTTGAAACCAGATTTTAACCTGTAAAAATAACATATGCTTTAGTTGAATACTTAAACTCGCCTACGGCAATGCCTAAAAACTAATGATTTTCCGTTGATTGGTTTGATTATTAATAAGAATAACAAAATGTTAATTACTGTTCATTTAAAAATATTCCGTTTAGTGACGGATTAAGAATACGGAATGCCACTACCCCAATTCATCCCGTGGTTGTCGTAAGAGCCAACTAAGGTAATAAACTACGCAGGACAACAGCACTGCAAAAAGAAGGAAAACTTGACACAAACCCTATATCAACCCGTCTGGCCAGCGTGGTATAGTAGGCCAAAACCTCCTTTCTAAGGAGAGGCCTATGTCCAGCAGTGGACTATTCAAGGCTGTTAATGTGTGATGTGGTGATGTGAAAAAATATTTACTGCTAGTCATGATAGGACATTTAAATTATGAAACTAATGACCGAAAATTACCTGTGTTTCAGATAATCCTAAAGATGATGAGAATTCGGCTCTCTCAGCGATGCTCAAGTACTGCTTCTTGGAAAACATGCTCTCAAGCGAGCGCAATTGTTGTGCGGTAAATGGTGTACGTGGCTTCCGGTTGGGCTTGTGTTTGCGAAGGTTACATTTTAATTTTGCAGGTTCACCGTTTGCATCTGTGAAAAGAAATCATTTATTAGTAATTGGTATTTGTTAGTATTAGAAATTTATATAATCTAAATTTCAACTTCTTTAAATAATTTACCCAATTTGTACACAAATTATTAATTAAAACATTGATTTCCAAACATCCGGGTAATGCATTTAGTAGTTAATGTTGTAACATTATACACTCCAAAAAAGATCTCAAATTCAGCTTCTGGGTTACCTCAAATAACGTTTTATGACCAATTAATATGCAAAGAAAATATTCAATTCTCCTATTGAACATCATTTTTAGTCAAAACAGATACAAAATAATCTGATGTGGAAGTAAAATGAATATAAATAATAATAAATGGGAACATTTATCTACAGATATTTTGAGCGCAAGTTACATACATAGGTGGACTTTACTGTTACATCTCAATAACATTAAAGTGGCCGAAATTTGATCGGAATGCTCCACCATTCCTTTGCCACGATAATAAATCGCATTATAAAACTCATCTAAAATAAAAGGTTGAGGAAACGAACCGCGATCCAATCACGATAACATCTCAACAAAGTAATTTTGAAACTTACTTAGTGTCGAAAACAAACGTATTAGTAACCAAATCAGTAGTTTTATTGCTCAGCTGGTTAATAAAGAATTGAATAACACCCACATATTAGAGATGTCAATAGCGATATAAATGTCTTTCGTTACATCTCCAGTAGCCGGTATGTGCCATATTAGATTTTTGATAGATTTTAAAGAAATTCTGTTTAAAATTACTAATGTTTTCATTTTTATTTGAGACCACTTAAACCTTTATAAGGGACTTGGAAAAAAGGAGGAGCTTAATTTATCTGTACAGTTTTTATATCTGTTTCCTCGGAACTCCGTTATTTATAAATCGATTTGGAAATATAATTTTTTTTTGAAATGGTATACTTTCCATTTTGTTCCAAATCCATTCCTATGAGTGGATATTAAAGAATACAGTTCATTACAATTGATTTCGATGTAGGCGAATTGAAGTTGGTTATACTTTTTTAAGGTTTTTTGTTCTATTTTGGTTACGGTTAATTCGTCGTATAATTTTACGAGCAACAAATCCATTAATCAAATTAATTTGTGGTTGAGTATTAAATTTATATCCCAATAAGACATTATCAGTTCGTTTATTAGTGAGGACGTATATAAAATTCTGGTTTCCTTGAGTGACATAGGTGCTATTCTGTTATAACTGGCTATTAAATTTGTTAGTAATTGAAAGCTACATACTTGAATGGTCTCCAACCTACATAATTATCTCGGTATCTACTAATTGGTATTTAAGTACTAATCAATGCTCTTCAACGTTGATTGATTGTCGAACATGTGTTGCGTGGACTTTCATTTTATTACAAGTAGGACACAATTTCGTTGGCACATCATTATGATGAAAATGTTGTAAATTAACTATTATTCATTGACAGAATTGTGTAATATAAAACACGTTAGAATTTAAACTTAGATATTTGAAAAGTTCTTAACTTATTTCTTCTTCAATACTACTTAAACAATTTTATGCAACTAAACAAAATAAAAAATACGAAAAGTGTTTTAATGGGTGGAATTGTAAAAAAAGAATATTGCTTATTATCATAGATATAATTGCAATTTCAAATTGAGTAGATACTCAATTTGCTAATTTGTTAACAATATTAAATTAAAAATGTGGCGCTTAAAACGACGAATCAATCCCAATGTCAAACAGTACACTCGCTTAATAGCTAATGGTCTACAAAAAAGCAAAAAAACTACCGTAAATTATGTGACAGTCGAAAAAAAGCTAAAGTGTATTAATGCTGTGTTTAGCAGACGTCAAAGCAAGTACCGACGACAAGACGGAAATAATACTAAGAGCCATTACACACTAACGATTTAAGTGGCGCGTTTTTTCTTTACCGCCCAGAAATAGATCGTTTAAGTTACCACGTTTTTCATGAACACATTTTTTCCATCTGATTTATAGTTTTACATTTACAGTAATAAATGCGATAGACATCGTTACAGTTTTTCTTACATTATTAACGAGAGAGTAAACAACAACAAAAATTGGTTTAAATGTATCGCGTTTGTCGTATGTGTGCGACCGTTTAAAATTGTCCAGGAGCTGTTAAATTACCCCCTTTATAAATATTTATATGGAACTGTCTGCTCGTATTCTCTTGTTAATTGTATAAAGAGATATTGACTACAGATGTTACATCGGTGAGTTATGTTCGTGTTGTTGTGACTCCCTTAACGACGAGAGAAATATGAGTCGTTTTAAACACATTATCCGTTGTACATTGATATTACTGGCTCTGTCTTTTTGTCTAAATAAAATAATGTCTACTAAATGAATAATGAAATGTGGATTGATTTTTCTGAAAGTGGGTATGAGGTTCGATTTAAATGTTGTAATTTTATGCTGACGGTACCTAATGTTTCAGTGCGCTGCTAAAAAGACAGTTGATATATTAATGAGCATGTTTGCTTTTTGTGTGCGCACCACCATTAATCGTGCGAGGCGAGGTATGTCATTCATTCCAATATTTTAAACGGGCACCGTATACTTGACGTTTTTGTTGTCTGTACAAGAAAGGCGGACATTCTCTATATCTCCCCGAATATTCAACATTACATTTATTTCTGACGTGGATGTGGAATTCAAATAATACCCATATAAATATGTAAATGTTTTATAAAAAAGAAGCTAATAAAACTATAGTTACAGCATCTTAACAGCAGAGGCAATTCATATGCTTCATAAAAAATGATTATTTCCCTAACGAAAAGTTTCGAAAAACTTCAAATGAAATGATAAAATTATTTATTTGACAGAATGTGGTTTCTTTAGCAACAAATATTTTAGAATAGCATGAAATAAAAGTAAAAACGTACTAAAAACTCATTTGCCGATGTTCACCACACAAGAAAAATTGATGAGAAAAAATTAAAAAATTATGTTACGTATTAAAATTAATAGGTTCATAAGGTAAGAGATATATCATGACACTTTGAATAACATTAATGTTGAACACAAAGAACTATTGAGGCTATTAAACGATGTTCCCGGATTCCTTAAGACTACGCCCACAATATTTATCTGTTGATCAAACGAAATCCTTAACATGGCCATTCATCAGCACTCAATCTTTAACTCATAAAAGGGCCATAGAAAATGCGGAAGTGAATAAGCTTTGCTATTAAACATGATATTTACGTTTGAAAAGCTGTTAAGTGAACTTCCTCTTTGCGTTCAGAGCTATTATTTAATATGGAAATAGATAAAATCTATCTATTTGGAATTTATTAGAATAGGTTTTTTCTGCATGAAAGACGTTTATGTTATGTTAAATGTTCCTAAGAAGCGTATCGTGACGAAGGACTTTGAAATCAAACACTTCATAAAGTATAAAAAGTTTTTAGAACTCTTTTAAACATTCTCTTCGAATAAAATAAGAGTATAATGAGGACGAGAAAATAATGATAAAATAGTAATAATTTAATATTATTAATTAGACGAGCCAGTACATCATAAGCACTTTTGAAACTAACGGCTACTTAACTATTTTTGAGACGCTTTTCGGCTCTTACGATACGGGATGAATAGGGGTGGTTACTGTCCGTATTTTTAATCCATCACTACACAGACAACTTTGTCCAAAATCGTGTAAATGAGTTGTTTCGTGGCCTCACCTTAAATGATCTATTAAGAGCATCATCGGTTGGAGCCGTGTTTATACTCGTCCCGCTCAGCTCAGTTTACAAATAGCACTATTCAATGGGACATTAGTATTTTGGCTCGGAGCCAGCTCTTGACAGCGCCGTTTGACTACTTGTTAAACATCAAATGTCATTTTGTTTCAATTTGATATTAAAATATTTGTATGTTTAATTACGAGACAGCATTTAGACTCGCTTTAAGACAACGTATTTATTTTCCCTCTTAACATAATTATAAAAAAAATACAAGTATGAAAAAGTTATTAATTTGATTACTAAATAGATAAATTAGGTTCGATGAGTGCAATAGGCACTCAGTATACCTAATATCTGCCATATCTCTTAGCAATACAATTATCATAAACAAAGAAGGTTGATATTAAAAACAAATGAGACATTTCGACAAAGATTTTGGTACGTATATAAATTTTCAATAATTAATATTAATCTAAATAATATTTTTATATACATTATTCTGCAGACGGTACCTGAAATGAAGCGGTCGCGTCAGTTTTGTTGCGCATACTCCGTAATTGATTGGGAATGCTTCTATAATTAGGAGCGTGACTTGTTGCTGACCGTACTTAACAACACATTTATATATTAACTAAAGAGATGCAAGGATTGTTTACCAACTTATATGGAGAAATAGCAAACTTAATTAAATGAACAATAATTAACGTTAAGAAAAGTAGCACTGACTTCAAAATGCCTACATTGTAATAAATGTTTGAATTTAAATAAACTGTTCTATTCATTCGTTAATTTTATATCTTAAGAGTTCTTCAGTTTTCAAGTTCGAATGTGACCAAATGGGAAATACGAGTATATCATCCCAAATAAAAAAAAGTTTTTTCCAAACCGGTTCTGAAATGACGTAGTACTGAGATATCAAACATAAAAAAAATTAAATATAACCGAATTGAAAATAGCCTTCTTTTTGAAATCGGTAAAAAAGAATAAAACTGTTGGCCTGACAGTTCATTTAATTTTTACATTATTTTTTATTTTACTTTATTTTCAATGTTATAGAAAATCTTTATAATGTATGTTTACAAAATTATTTTCAAAAATCCTGTCCCGTAACTAAAGAACAGAATATGAACTGAAATCGTCATTTTCTGTTGTGTCTCATTTATATATAAGAATAATAGATCACCATGCGATCTCCAGTATGTTTACAATTGCAAAAAAAGTATCTAAAGTATTCGTGTTCTGAAACCGTAATCAACCAGTGTAAATAACGCTGTTATATATACCAGTATAATGAATAAG